TAAAAAAATAGATATCAACACATACGTCTACCCACTAAAAATAATATTTATAGTAATAAGAAATGTCGGATAAAAAAAAATATATATATATATATATATATATATATATATATATATATATATATATATAAATTTAAGTAATTAAATCTTGGTAATCCGTATAGATAATCCCAAGGAGGATGAAATCCAGAGAGCTCAATGTTAAATCAGAGCGAATAATTTAATTTAAAGAAAACCAAACAACTTTAAGGTTCCATAAGTTTATAATTTAGTTTCCCAGGGATCTTGGTCCCTGGATCATGAAGTCTGATGATCCAGGGAACAAGATCCATGGGGAACTAAATTATAACCTTATGGAACCCTAAAGTTGTCTGGTTTCTTATATATATATATATATATATATATATATATATAAGAAAATTAAAATATAAAAATAGTTTTATATAAAACTAATCCTATTGCGTCTAATACCACCTATTACATATTATATTTTTCATTTTCTAAACCCACATTTCACAAAGCAAATATCAATAAACATTTTGCTATGAGAAGTATTACAAGTTATAGAAGCGTCCATATTAATTTGTCAATACCCATTTTTTAAAAAAAAAATCACCAGAAGGGTGTAGTTCATTTCTTGGTAAGTTATAGAAAGAGAAATACACACTCGCTAACGTTGTAAAATGTTGAGCAAGCCGCCCTCGAGGAACCATTTTCTTAGTGTATTGAGCTTGATTTTATTTAATGCTTCTTATCCAAGAAATACTTTCTAACTATTCATACACTCTGGAAACAAGCTACTTGGCCAAAAAATGATCGCATTTAATTCTATCTTTATAGATTTTACACGGTATTTTTAAAAGATAAAGTTAGGGAAATAATGCTTACATAAATAGGAATAATTATTCAAAAGAGTATTATAAAATTTACTTTTCAGGTATCTTCCCCATGATGGAATTGGCGTATCTATTCATTGGCATTTGGAATAAAACCTTTATACGTTAATACTTCAATTATCCAATGATTTAACAATGAATTTTTTTTTTTTTTTTTTTTTTTACAAACTTCAGAAAAATAATTTTCTCACGCAATCAAGGTTACTGCATTAACTTACAAATAGCGAATTGAGCGACATTTGAAATCCCAAGAGAGTAACTGACTTTTTTCTCGTAGCCAAGGCTAACCCAGTTTATGTTTAAGAGTGGCCCGAAAACACTGGAAATGGAGAGAAAAATAGCCCAGTGTAGCAAATTTGCAATGAATTAGACCAGATGAAAGTCTTCATTTGGAAGGAAGTCGCTCTTTGAAATGGTCATTGCTATTTTGCTAAAAAAAAAAAAAAAAAAAAATATCGAGTCATCATTATGTGAACTGCTAAGACATTCATAATCGATAGAATAAAAAGATTTAAAAACCACCATACAACGTTTTGAATGTATGCTTATATATATATATATATATATATATATATATATATATATATATATATATATATATCTCAATGACAGTTTTGTCTTTTTTATATTTTACGCATAAGATTGTGTATTAATCTGTTAGAGGGCGCAATGTAGCGATTTGGTAAGCGTAGCTTAAATGTGGCACAAAGCCGCAAGTATGGAGCACCCATTGAGAAATGAAATTACTCCAAAACATTATTTTAGTATGACAAATAAATGTACTAATAAAAGTAGGCGTCCTGAAATTTTCAACGAATACGATGCACGCACAATAATTTTTTAAAAAATAAACTGTAATAAATATTTAGTTATTGCTTTGTAAAGATAGCTAGACTGAGAATTCTACTGTATTTCTGCCATTGAATGCAGTCATAATACATTCATCAATACATAACGAAAACGTTCAGATTAGTTGTGGGCGTGTCAAAGTCTTAACTGAGTGATGACATCAGCTGAGGCTGCGTTCGGCTTTCCTCCAATAAAGATTAGTTATTTGCTAAATCAAACAAGCCATGTCAACGGCTGGATGCGAACTAACAAATGAATTATTTATGGATTTGATCGGATATGAGTTATTCTTTTAGTCGACCGACATAAAAAGTTTTGTCAAACGAAGCTGAAGTAATATTTTAGCTATTTTCTGATTCGCTTCTTCGAAATTGTCTTCTATATTAATTTCTCTGCTTTATTTTACTTAGGGAAGACAAAAAAAAATTTAGTAGCAACTTTATATATATGTGATATCGGATGTTTGCCATAATCTTGCACAGAATCAGTAGGCAAGTCATTCTGTGAACTGTGTACTTCTTAAATAAGGAAATCACCCAAAAGTGAATGAAATTATTTTATTAGGTAGTGGGATGGCTTACCTACTTAAAAAAAAAAAAAAACATTCCATCAATATCCCACCCCATTTTCGTTTTCTACCGCTTATCAATCCTCTGCAGGTTATTATAGAGCCAGAAAATATTTTTAGATTGTAAGAATTTTTGTGGGGAGATAATAATGGTTTTACTTATACGCGTCTTACTAATTAACCCACATCTGGGGAGAAGTGGTGGATTCAAACTTTTCTCAAGGGTATTTGCGCGTAAGCGAATATAATGAACGCAAAAGGGATAGGAACTGTTCTCCAATGAAAAATTCCTAGCCATTATCCATTACACCTTCCGAACATCTAAACTTACAACACCTGGTATTGCCAAGCGTCCCTCCATCTCGGTACTAACCTGGCTCGACGTTGCTTAACCCGGAAACCGGTGTTTCAACGTGATATGGCCGTAAGCGCCACATCAAAGGGGTCAATAAGTTCTCAAGAGTGGAACGAGACATTTATTATTTTTAATTCTAACTATATTTTTCTGTTTTCACAGCGACAGGCTATTTCCCAAATTTGCTGTCATACACCCTTTTTCAGGGAAACAAGACGAGCTTCTGATACTAAATAAATGATATGCTATATCTGTCCGAAAAGGTTTTATTTTTGTAACTTTTCTTTAGTTCTAAAGTTTGGCATTTCGAAGATCTTAAAATTATGTGCGATTTAGTCATTTATTTTTCGAGGATCATGGTGTGTGCGTATAGGTTGCGTGGTACGAATTTGTTTTTGGATTTGCATTTGGAAACGAGTTTAGAGGCTTATATTTTGTTTAGGATTTCATATTCTGAGAAGATGATTATTGCTATTTTATCATCTAGGCAAATGTTACATTATTTTGATTTGTTTCTTTAAGCTGTTACTATTTTTTTTCCATGTTACTTTTTTTATGTGCTCTGTTTTTAGCTTTCAACATTCCATATGTATTTTGAAAGTGTTGTGCTATTTGCATACTTTTTGTTATGAAATGAAGTCATATGAATAGCTTCTTAGTTTTCTGGGACACACACACACACATATTATATATATATATATATATATATATATATATATATATATATATATATATATATATATATATAGCGCATGTATATGTGGGTAGCACTTGTCACACAGCACACGGATAGTATGCTGATTATAAACAAAGATGCCAAACTTGCTGGGGTTTTTTTATGGATATTTTGCTAGTCATTTTGGGACAGGGGTTTAAAGAGAAAATTTAATCAAAGCTGTAATTTTACCATGACTGCATTTATAATCGGTAAACTGAGACAAATTTTCGGCTTTTCTTATTGTTAACCACCTCACATTATCCCTCCCAGCTTGGCCATTAAGTCATTCCTGTCCCAATAAACTAAGTATTTCTGGCGGAAGAGAAAACAAGGATTAAGCATTGAATTTTAAGATTTGTTATTTAAAACTGGTTTTAGAAAATTTCGACACGTTGTGCAGTAAAAGATATATTGTTAACGTTTAGGAAAGTATAGCTGACAAAGTTTTTTTCAAACTATAAAAAGAATCAATTAGTTGGAGTAGATCATAAATATTAGATAAGGAGTGCGAAAAAAAAAAAAAAAAAAAAGTGACTGCATAAATTAACATTCACTTACGGATGAGGATCTTTAAAAAAATTGTTCATAACGAGACTCAAAATTCCTAAATATGACGATGGAAGCAATCATTAAAAAGTTAAAATTCTCAGAGCTGTTCAAATGGATTAAACAAGTCTAAATCAGTGCTTTCTGTGAAAAACAAGGAACGCCTGCGCCGTGAAAGAACATGACATTATATAAACATATTTACTAAGCTTAGCTCAACTTTGTACAAAGACAATAGGTAGGAAGAATACGGGTAGGAAGATTGTATTGAGCCGTTCTTCCAAGAGAGGATGGTTGCTTACTTTGAAAATCAGCATTCAAAGTGTTGGTTTTACATGGGTTTGAACACTGACCAGCGCCACTGTTAGAAAATATATAACTGTTTCAGCTATGAGAAAAGTTGGTTGATTTTACATATCACTTGCTGGGTCGATTTTTTTTTTTTTTTGTAGGGGAGGGGGCACCTAGTGAAGCCCGAACTGGCTACTCTTAGTAGTAATAATCAACTGCTATGAAGCAGGTGGTATATAGTAAGGTTAGTTAAGGCCCAAAGCCGTAAGTGTTTGGCCGCTTGTGTGAACTGAAATCATGACACAGAAGTGATCGTTATTCTGTAATATTAGCTTCCTAAACGTTGCTTCTCGTCGTGTCATCCTTGCGTGACCAGTTTACATTGTATAAAAAGATTGCAAAGGTTTCAATTGTCAATTCTTAGATCATTGTCAGGCGTTATCGGACAAGTGTGATGTTTACAACAGCATTCAATGATTTACAGATTCAGACACGCAATAACTATCAACTGTATTGTATTTAAATGCAAATCAATTTTCATATTTTGGAAAATAATTAAACAACGGCAACAATAATAATGAAGTGAAAAAGATAATTATCTCGCCCATGATAGGGAGGTGGGGGCTGAGTAAGCTGTGGAACATGAAATTGATAGTCGTGGGAGTCGTTATTGGAGCGAGAAGACGGAGAGGAAAAAGGGAAATTGGAACTATTTAGACGACAGGATTTTTGAAAAACCACTAAAAAAATTGGTGTATTGAGGAAAAGTTCTGTCAGTTAATTCCAATGTAAGTCATCAGTTGCACTTGGTGTGAATACAAGAAAAACAAGAAAAGAAGTAAAAGGAAGAAAATGTAAGGGAACAAAAAGACAAGTAAAAGGAAGAAATAGTAAGGAGAAGTAAAGAGAAGGAGAAGAAGTAAAGAGAAGGAGAAGAAGTAAAGAGAAGGAGAAGAAGTAAAGAGAAGGAGAAGAAGTAAAGAGAAGGAGAAGAAGTAAAGAGAAGGAGAAGAAGTAAAGAGAAGGAGTAAAGAAAAGGAGAAGAAGAAGAAGAAGTAAAGAGAAGAAGAAGAAGTAAAGAGAAGAAGAAGAAGTAAAGAGAAGAAGAAGAAGTAAAGAGAAGAAGAAGTAAAGAGAAGAAGAAGTAAAGAGAAGAAGAAGAAAAGAGAAGAAGAAGTAAAGAGAAGAAGAAGAAAAGAGAAGAATTAAAGAGAAGAAGAAGAAAAGAGAAGAATTAAAGAGAAGAAGAATTAAAGAGAAGAAAGTGTAAGGAAAAAGAAAAGAAAAAAGGAATAAAATAAAAAGAAGAATAGGAAGAAGAAGAAGATACGAACATAAATCAGCTTCCTGACAGGCACTAATGCAACAAAAATAAAAGCACAACTAAAATTTCAATTGATACTAGCCGATTATTATTATTGCTATAAACACAGAAAAGAAGACCTGTTAGAGTGGGATTTTATTCTATAGAACAAATGGAGATGGCACTTTTCTTTTATGGAGCATGATCCTTTAAAATAAATCTTGCAGCGAAGATTATTATTTGAAAAATAATAACCCTGTCTTACCAAATGCTGTGCCGGAGTGGGAGATAATCTAATCGTGCCGACACTTGTATTTGGTACACACGAGTAGCACTTATAATAGTTGTCGCATTTTGAACCATACAAAACCAATTTCATAAAAATGAAATGTAAGATTGGAAGAGTAAGAAATTTAAAGTGGAACCGTTTTTCGACTATTGCATTACTGGGTACGTCAGGAGGGATACTGAGGAAAGTGCTGCAAATATAAGGAAAATTACTGCTACCTTAATTTCCACTGATAATCACGAAACATCTGGTACGGATGCGCAAACGTATAAAAATTTAAATAATAGGTATTGACATATTTTGCCTCATTCGACTTATTTTTCTCATCTTTTTATCAATGAATTCTTCAGATTTATATTAATGGTGGGTGACATGCGATATTTGCTGAATTCCAGATATTTTGGTCTGTTTGATGTGGTTTCTTGTTCTTTCCTGAGGCAAAAATTTACTATCTGATCCAAGGACTGATTTCAAGTCCACGAGATTACAGCAAAACATAATGAAGAGATGGTGACAATTAAAAGATATTACAAGATATTTCGAATCTTCATTACATTTCATTTACTGCAATATTTCGTCAGTTACTCTCAGCCAGTCTGTTTTATGCGAGCGGCCCCAGGACGCCTCTCGTCGAATACTTTGATAGAAATTTATTTATTTATTATTTATTACATGGGGAAGGTCTGACAACGGAATGAAATGTTTAACTTATTTAAATTCCCTGAATATTTGGGTAACATTTCTGCACATCCAATCAGCTGCGTGCTTAAAAAAGCAAAAACAGATACTGATTGATTTTTTTTTTTAATTCCATGTCATTTCACAGGTAGTAGGCGAACACGAACCCCACACGTCTTTTCTTTATTATATGTGATTTTTCATGACTTTGGAAAGATAATGAAGTGGTTTCCCGTTCCCTTCCCCATGGTTTCAAATTCAGAATAGTCGTCCTAAACTAGAAAGTTAATGTTTTGTTTAAGTCTTTTCAACAATGTCGATCTTTATCAGAAACTACATGTCAGTATCGTAGACAAGAGTTTATTAGCTATATCCTGGCATTTTGCGGAGAGATGTTAATTTCAAATTAATTTATATACGTATATCTTGTATGGCTTCAACAAAGCTTGGCAAAAGTTGAAACGATTAATTTAAATATTTTATACACATTTTATAAGCATTTAAATTCGAAATTTTGATCCGGGTCTGCAACTAATCATTCGAAATTTGGAAGGAATACCCTAGAAAATAAAACCGATAGATCCACGTCAGTGGAATATAACACAACTATATATATATATATATATATATATATATATATATATATATATATATATATATATATATATATATATATATATATATATGATTGGTGTATACGGAATAAATTCCAATAAGCAAAAATTACTATTCTTAAAAGAGTGCTCAATACAGAGCATTTAAAATTATAACAAATATGTTATAAAATCACTACAAAAATAGCCATTTTGTTTCAACACCTCTGGTGTCTTATCAAGTGATGATGTTGAATGTAGATTGTAGAATATTCTACAATCTACATTCAACATCATTATATATATATATATATATATATATATATATATATATATATATATATAATGTAAATCTATTTAAACTAGGTGGGGAAAAATATTGGCATCCGAGGAAAAATTTAAATAAAAAGAAACAAACTTCCAAACAGGAATTCATCCAGGACTTTAAATCTCTGGTACAAAGAACAAAAAAAAAAAACAGTGAGTAATAAGTTAAAACGAAGAGTGCTCAATACACTAAGTAGAACAAAAGTTATATATATATATATATATATATATATATATATATATATATATATATATATAACTTTTGTTATATATATGTGTGTGTGTGTGTGTGCGTGCGTTTGTGGAGAGAGAGAGAGGTCAGGGTGACTATTACTTGCAGGCCTTAATATAAACTTGGTCTGAAAATCGCATTGGTGTGTAAATTTGACAGTCACCATTCATTATTGATTCCTATGTCAACACTCTAAATGCCTTATCTGATACAGATATTTTTCCCACTATAAATATACCAAATTTTAAGTGTGTGTGTGTGTGTGTGTGTGTGTGTGTGTGTGAGTGAGTGAGACTTTTCAACGTTTTTCTAGGAAGAAGCCAATTAAACAAAGAATTCGAGTAATCGATTAATGCACATATGAAAATACATCGTTGCAGGATAAAATAAATTATCGCCAACAGCATGTTAAATCGACGAAAGATAAAAAAAATGTTGAAGATAAAGCACAGTAGGCGAATGTCAAGACAAGTGAAAGTTTTACACTCTTAATTTCAATCAATATTATTAATCGACTCTTGTAAATGAGAAGAGTGAATGATTTGCATGCAAAGGAGAGCTCAATAAATGCTTGCATGAATTTCGGCCATGTTTTTTCCATTGACTTAATAGGTGGAAACTGTACGTTATATGACCAAAATAAGTTCGATCAAAAGGGAAGGAAAGAACTCTGGTTGAAGTTGGTATACCAAGCACGTTTATTTTGCATTTCGACTTAGTGGGAAGAAGTCAGTGATGAATTGGCTCTGTTCTCTATCAAAGAAACGGTCGTTGAAAATGCAGATACAATAAAAACTACTATTAATACAGAGAACCCCTCTACCCAACACTTTAACAACCTACAAGTAACAGTATCGCGAGAAAAACAATTTACTATCACTGATTCGGTAGCATGTGATACAGAATTAAAGTAAATCTTTGAGATTTTATTTTCGTTGTTGCGTTGCTTCGAGTATATAAGCACTCGGTCTCTTCATTGACTTCTTGACGAGCAAACTTTAATCTCTCTCAACATCTATCTATATATAATCCCCGTTCATATCTAGCGAGCTATATATTATTTCACTCCAAGCAAGACAAAGCCACTAAGACGCAAGGATCCAAGCCACTTTGGTGGTCTTTGCGTTGTGAGCAGAAATATTGGTTTGGTGAAAAATAACATCTGACCATTCCTCATAGGAAAACAATTTTTAAATTCTAGAGGTAAACTTTTTTTTTTTTTTGCAATATTGACTTTCACAATTTGGACATAAACCATTTTTTGCACAGGAGAATAGTTTTTCACTGTCTTTTGAACAGGAGTGGGGGTTTATAACCCGTTCCTAGTTTAGGAATGGTTTCCGGTTCCTTCAAGTATACTCCAACTCCTCCTGAGCTCCGAATTGTTTTCACTGTTTATTTAATTTTTTTTTTCTCCTCACCTAAAAGGAATAGACAGACAAACCTATCGTCCGGTTTATACACCTCCCCGGTATTTTGAACAGGAGTAGAGGTTTATTCATTGATTCTTGTTTAGGATTGGGCTCCCGGTTCCTTCAACTCTGTACTTCTGACGTCTCTGCCTGGACTTTACATCACTTCTTGCCCTTTCGTACGCTAATACAACTCCCCAAAGTAACACTACGTGGAGTAACTCTCGGGTCTTGTATTAGCTGAACATTAGTAATATAATTTTATTTTTTTAAATACTTTGGAACCGTTCCATCGTTCTTATCGTTTTCCTATGAACCCATTTTGGGGGTTCAGTTCTATCACCAACTAGAATGATTTTCTAAATTATCATTCTTTCTCGGTTTCATTTTGTGAAGACGAAACGACGTATGACATTTTTGCTTGCTACAACCAATCTGATTTTCTAACCGGTATTCAGTGATCCGTTTGAATGTCAAAATGCCGGAGCATTTTTTAAAGATTTTGCTGAGTCATGTGTTCATACCATCGGTCAGCAAGGATAAAACAAATTATTATTATTATTTATTATTCTATTTCATGCTATTCAGATCAGATACCGTGAGGGAAGCATCTCCCCTGAAATCTCCAGCACCATTCTCAGTATCCCCGCAGGTCACTAGTAATGACATTTGAAGAAATATATTCGCTTATAAAGGCACTATTCGGCTTTGCTCGAACGTCGATATCCTTCGTGACAGAGTTGTTCAAAAGCACTTCGGATCTAACGACGTTTCTCCTGCTAAGGGATATGCAGGTTCGAATCCTGCTGATGGGCACATATTTTCTTTAATTATACTTCGTTAATACACTGTTTAATAAATAAACGGAGCATCTACTCACTCAAATATGGGTATCTATTAAAAATAATGTTTAAATGATAAAATCTGTCGGATTAATAAATAAAAAATCCCATATATATATATATATATATATATATATATGCTTAAAATATAAAATAAATTGAGGGTTCAATGTTAAAGTTGATAGAATGTAAATAAAGTATATTATAACAATATTAAAAGAATATTCAGATAGAAATCATGATCCGCTCTACAATGTTAGACTGTATCGTTGGGCAAATAATACTTTATCTGCCTGACGTACACTTACGTTAAAGAATTCCTCTTAAGAATATTAGTCTAAATATCGCATTAAAAGCGTGAAACTAAGTCGCCATTCAGTGTTGGTTCATTATATATATATATATATATATATATATATATATATATATATATATATATATATATATATATATATATATATATATTATATTATATTATATATATATGAGTGAACATTGAAGTCAACACTCAGAGGCGACAGGCTGTTTCATGCTGGACGCAATCGTCAGGCCGCCTGATGATTGCGTCCAGCATGAAACAGCCTGTTGCCTCTGAATGTTGACTTCAATGTTCACTTTTTATATTTGTATTTACGTACGCTCTATCTCCGATATTGAGCACTTTATCCCAGAAATATAACACCTTAAAACTATATTTCTTCATATATATATATATATATATATATATATACATATTATATAAATATTAAATATATTATATATATATATATATATATATATATATATATATATATAAGAGTGAGAGAAACGTGTATGAACGGGGTCAGTATGTTCTGACCGTATCCAGAAACTAAGCAAAACACCGATAAAATTTCTGCTGAAAAGATGTTTCTTAAAAAAAATTTGAATTAACAGAAAAAGCAAGACACCATTCATCTTCGTTACCACGAAAAAATATTCAACCTTAAAAATGGCTAAAGTATTAAATCGAAAGCGCTCGGAACAAACACTACGCACAAATTCTCCACACTCAATCCTCAAAAAATAAAACTTATAAAGAGATATGAAAAAAAATATATATATATATATATATATATATATATATATATATATATATATGTGTGTGTGTGTGTCTAAATTTTCATATATGACTAAAATATATCTGTAAAAGGACAATATGAATAAATAGTTCAGAGGACAAAATGGCTAAGATAAGGTTTTCCTTTTGTCAATTCATATATAATTTGTGTCATTCTTAATGAAACATACATAAAAAAAAAGGATTTCTGCCCGCACAGACACACAGACGGAAGTCGACCAATAAGTCTGTAGCTTGATACGTAGTTATTAGCTGATTTTTGATCTGAGGTTTTCCCTAAAATATTTTCCATCTATATGCTAAATATTCACCACTGAAATCAGTTCATTGACACAGGTAGATATAGAAAAAAAATTTTTAAATTCATAAAATTTAAAGATAATATTTGCCCAATTCTTCATACATTTTCCAAACTTCATTCAGATTTGACGGAATCCTTCAGGTTTTTGGGGATTCTATCTAAATTGAACAGGGAAAGAGTTAATTAGTAAGCATAGATTAGATTTAATGCACTGTCCTCTCCAGAGAACAATGCACTGATGGTGTACGGATGACATAGTTGAGGTAAGAATGATGTTAATGATTAAAAATTACTTCAAGTGAATGATCCCTGTAGGCTGCAAAGAACATTATCTTTCATCAGATTTGATAGAAAGCGCTATAGCATTTCAAAAGACTTTACCGAATAACAAACCATATTACTTGAATTCCAACAACGGCAACAACTAAAATGAAGCACAAAGAGAAAATAGACACACAATCAAGATGTTGACATTTCACACTACATTAAACAAAAGCCGCCATCAATACTAGAAACTTACAAAACCAATAAACTATTAAGGAGAAATATTTTATCAATTTCAAAACGTCGACTGTTCGATAAAATGAATGCTGGATGCTTCTGGTTAACCTTACCATTATAAATATGGGGCACATGGTGAGAATCAAACTCAGTAAGAATGCATCTGCGAATTCAGCTTACAACTCATTACCCCTCGGAAATAGGCTTGTCGAATTGGGAAGTAAAGTAGCAAAAAAACATTGTAAATATCTGGATTAAAACTGTAATACAACTTCATAAAAGAGCAAAGCAAATAAAGGCATTGGGGGGAGAGAGAGAGAGATGGAAAAAAAGTAAAGAGCAATTAAGAAAGGGGAAAAAGAAAAAAATGCAAAAAGATGAAATGGAAAAAAAAGGGTAATGAAAATTGAATCCAAAATAGATAAGAAAAAAAAGAAAAAGGAACGAGAAAAATAAAGGAAAAAAAGAAAAAATGAGAAAGATAATAAAAAAAAAAGGAACGAGAAAGAGATGAAAAAAAAAGAAAAGGAACGAGAAAGAGATAGCCAAGAAGAAAAAGGAACGAGAAAGAGATAGCGAGAAGAAAAAGAAAAAGGAACGAGAAAGAGATAGCGAGAAGAAAAAGAAAAAGGAACGAGAAAGAGATAGCGAGAAGAAAAAGAAAAAGGAACGAGAAAGAGATAGCGAGAAGAAAAAGAAAAAGGAACGAGAAAGAGATAGCGAGAAGAAAAAGAAAAAGGAACGAGAAAAGAGATAGCGAGAAGAAAAAAGAAAAAGGAACGAAAAGAGATAGCGAGAAGAAAAGAAAAAGGAACGAGAAAGAATAGCGAGAAAAAAAGAAAAGGAACGAGAAAGAGATATAGCGAGAAGAAAAAGAAAAAGAACGAAAAGAGAAAAAGGAAGGAACGAGAAAGAGATAGCGAGAAGAAAAAAAAAAAGGAACGAGAAAAAGATAGCGAAAGAAAAAGAAAAGGAACGAGAAAAGAAAGCGAGAAGAAAAAAGAAAAAGGAACGAGAAAAGATAGCGAAAAAAAAAAAAAGGAACGAGAAAGAGATAGCGAGAAGAAAAAAAAAAACGAAAAGAGATAGCGAGAAGAAAAAAAAAAAAGGAACGAGAAAGAGATAGTGAGAAGAAGAAAAAAAAGGAACGAGAAAGACAAATGAAAAAAGAAAAAAAATGTGATCTGGAACAAAATTAAGCGGCAAGTTAGGGTGTAAATTTATAAGCCCTACAGCAAAGTGTAGTATATTCCTGTCTTAATGATAATGAATTTCCAAATTGATGCCAGAAATGTTTAACAAACAATTCGTATATTCTTGAAGCTAGGTCAAAGTCACCTGTAATTCAACATCAACTTGAAGCTAAATTCTTTGTTTTGAAACAATCAAAGAATCCGACTCAGGATAGCAAGGGAGTAAAAAAAAAAAAATAAATAAATAAAGATGGACGAGAAAGTGAAAAAAATGGCGGATAGTAGGTATGAAAGAAAAAAGAATTAAAAAAAGAAAAGGAAAAACAAAGAAAAGGTAAGATCTTCAAAAAACAAAAAAAAGAAAAAACAAAACGTTTGAAATACATGTTAAATGAAAAAAGAAAAATCGAGACGATAAAAGGTATTTTTCACAAGGATTGTAGTAAAAGCGAGAAAACGAGAGACAGAGAAAGAGATTGTGAGAAAACGAGAGAGCGCAAAACGATTGTGTAAAGCGAGAGATTGTGAGAAAGTGAGAGAAAGAGCGTAAAGCGCGCGCGAGAGAGAGAAAGCGAGAGGGAGAGAGAGAAAGCGCGCGCGAGAGAGAGAAAGCGCGCGCGAGAGAGAGAAAGCGAGAGGGAGAGAGAGAAAGCGAGCGTAAAGCGAGAGTGGGAAAGCGAGCGAGAAAGTGAGAGGCGTAAAGCGAGAGAGAGAAAGGAGCGAGAAAGAGAGAGAGTAAAGGAGAGGAGAAAGGAGCGAGAAAGAGAGAGAGTAAAGGAGAGTGAGAAAGGAGCGTGAAAGAGAGAGAGAAAGAGAGGAGAAAGGAGCGTGAAAGAGAGAGAGTAAAGCGAGAGTGAGAAAGCGAGCGAGAAAGAGAGAGAGTAAAGCGAGAGTGAGAAAGCGAGCGAGAGAGAGTAAAGCGAGAGTGAGAAAGCGAGCGAGAGAGTAAAGCGAGAGTGAGAAAGCGAGCGAGAAAGAGAGAGAGCGCGTAAAGCGAGAGTGGGTTCTTGAAAGAGAGAGAAAGGCGCGGAAAAAAGTAATGTTGAACGGGATTTAAGTAGTTGGTAGGAAAGAAAGAATTGCAGAGAGAGAGAGAGGTTGGTGGGGAACAATGAAAAAAGTGAGAAAAAGAAAAGGAATGAATGAAGATGGTTAATGCGGGTCGGACTTTTATTAGCTTGAAAATAAAGGAGTAGAACTAACACAAACGACAGAAACTCTTGAAGCGTTGACGGGGTGGCGAGGGGACGCTTGTCATTCATTAGTCGACAGCGAATTCCACTCTGATTGAATGTCGCTTGTTAACATTTTGTAGCGAATCACTTAGAAGCCTTCCACGCTCCTAGATAACCAACCATATTCCTTTACTTCTGTATTCTTTCTACTCTCCCCACCCCCGTTTCTTCACCCTGCCTTTATCCTCACGCTCTTTCATCTTCAACAGCCAATGATTATCAATAAGAATTCTTTGTTATGTTGTTGTTTATCTTATTTGATGCATTTTTTTGGCTCAATTCCGTGCGTTTCTCGCTTTTCTTCCTCTATTTTTCGCAACGCAATTTATTCATCTTTTCTTGTACGTCGCTATCTCAAGATGTTTCGCTATACGTCTGCGCCATTCTCGCAATGTTCTGAATTCATCAAGAAAACTACTGCAAAATACGCAATCCGCAACTGAACGCGATGTAGGTTAAAGAAAAAAATAATGGCGGAAAAAAAAACCAACAACATAGCTTAATTTAATTTATTTGCTATGTTTATCCTATTTCCCTTTGTACTTTTTTTTTATAACGGGAAAAGGAATCAAGGACAAGAAACGTATAAGATAGAAAAAAAAAAGCCTGACAGCACAGACAATACAGAGCACACTAGCAGCATTATTAATCAGTCGAAAGTAATAGATGCTGGCTTTGCTTATCACGTCCAGGTGGACCACCATCGCCTTTTATACAAATTTACGCCACGCTACAAAGATTGCTGCTTTATTCTCTTGAAAAGAGGGGAAAAATAACATTTAGCAAAAAAGAATAGACGACCGTATCAACTAGCAAATAAAAAAAAAATCCCAACTGCATTGTAACATCATTCGTGTCCTTTCTTTTCGGGGTTTTAAAAAAAAGAGAGAGACATTGAAAACATTAGTCGCGTGATCTCTGAACTTCTTTAGACATTAGAGACTTCGGAGAAAGTATATTTTGCAAAGAGTGATATATACGAATTTCCGTATTTATGAAGGTTGCATTACAAATGCAATTTTCGTATTAAAGATTACAATCTTAATAGTTTGACATGAGCCATTAAAAGATTGTTATCAAGTGAGGCATGTCATGTTTTATTGTTTGCTGACATTATCAGTAATTTTCCACGTGAAGCTTATAGGTGAATAAAAACACTTTCAACATATGATCTGTACATATGATTAATAAACTTTGCTTAATATAACTAAACTAGATAGGTCTGTGTTGCGACAGTCACCCAAGTGAACGGACATAACACCCGAGAGAGAAAAATGTACTTGACAAGTTTGAGCAAATGGATGGCCCCTCAGGTGCCACAAAGACAAAGAAAAGTTCATAAAGAAGCAAGTATTAAAAAAAAAAAAAAAATGAAGCCGTGGAGAACATCCACATCCTGAAGAGACATGACCCCTAAGAAAGTGATTGCCTAAAATATATGTATTGTTAAATCTTTTATGGAAATCTTTTACAGCATTTTTTTTTTAAACTATTTACATTATTCGGACTATTGTCTTAATTTTTGTCGCCATATTTATTACAGCGTTTCGGCCGTTGTACGCTCCGGCCTTCTTCGGGTGGTTGAAATGTCGAACTGAACCCTTTATCCACTGTGCCATGTGTCTTCAAGGACACAAGGCACAGTGGATAAAGGCGTTAGTTAGATCCAAAGCGTGCGAGTTCAATACCTGGTTAAGGCGGTGGAGAACTTGCTGAAGGAAATTAACAGGAGATAACTGATAACTGACATCCATTAGACATGGCACGTGGAACTAGAACAGTCTACCCCAGTGAGCGAAATAAAGAGTTCAGTTCGACATTCGAACCACCTGAAGAAGGCCGGAGCGTACAACGGCCGAATCCTTGTAATAAATATGGCGACAATGATGAGGACAATCGTCCGAATAATGTAAATAGTGTACATAATACCTCATCTCAGAAATGTAGACAGCATTTTTTATATACATTTTTATTTATCACGTTGGTTAAATTTCATGTAATTGACTAAACTTAGTAGTCTGGCACAAGGCCACAAAAATTGGGTAACCGGTGATAATGAGATCCATTTGCCGGAGATATTAGCTTATATATTACAATAGCTGAAATGTTACTTGTACATGCTGATATTTAATAAGCTTAGATTCGTCCGACACATTGTTATTATAGTTAGATGCTAAGTAATGAGCAAATTCGCTTCTCTAGTGATTAGTCCACGAGACAAGCTTACTGGTCCTCGCTCGGCAACATACGCCTCTTTTATATATGTATTTCGAAATATAGAACAATTATTTTCTGCTTTATACATTATAAATACAACGGTTGTCATTAAAAATAGATGTGTTTTTTTTTTTTCCTCCAATTAACCCTGACAATACTTCATAAATCCAAGTAACTGGCGAATTTTAAATATTTTTTTCGGTTAATAACACGATCCAATAAAACAGGAATTAAAATGAATATATCCATTGTAATCTACTTGGTCGCTCGTATAATTACGTGTGGACTCGTCGCCGAGGGATAAAGCTTCCGCTTTCCGACGACAGCCGATTTGTCATAAAGGTGACTTCCTGATGTTATCCTCCTTAGAAGGCGATCCCAGGTTGTGGTACCTTTGGGAAAAGCCCGAAAACACATGCCATGGGTTGACCCAGGTCTTGATGGATTCGTTTACTACGACTTATCAATCCTCTGCAGGTTATTTAAAGTCAGAAAATATTTTTACATTGTAATATTTTTTAGATAATAATTTAGTGATAAGTTTTACTAACTAACCCATAGCTGGGGGGGAAGAGGTGAATTCATACCTTTCCCAAGGCTATTTGTACGTAAGTAAATGTAACGAACCCAACTGGAATTGGAACTCGGCTTTCTGATTAACAATTCCGTACCATTATCCAATACAACACCTGCACATCCAAATTTACAGCACCTGATATTCCCAATCAGTCACCCATCTAGGTACTAACTAGGCTTGATGTTGCTTAACTTCAATGGTCATACAGGAATCGGTGTTACAACTTGATGTGGCTGTAAATTATGGTGAATTTGTAATGAAAATTTCCATTCAGGTGTGAAATTGCCTGATTAATTCCAAAATAAAAGTTTACGGAAGAAAATCTTTTAGGAGTTACCGACAATATAAGACCGGCCTTATTCGTGTCTAGCCAGGCTACCATTACTGGTATTGTTTATATACGTTTGCCTAGAGTCGTAATGCGCGGAAGCATACTTAGTTAACGGCCTTTTTACTGGTCTTCTTACTCGTCTTGATTATTATGCAATTCGCGAACTTTAATTTAAGTTCGCTCATTGCGTAGTAATCAAGCAGCTTCCGCGCATTACTACTCGAGGTAAAAGTATATAAAAAGCCAGTAATGACGGCCGGGCTGTAACCGCGACACGAATGAGGCCGAACTTATATTATAGATAACTCTTAAACTGTTTTCTTCCGTAAGCTTTTGTTATTTTCGTAATAAGCATGCAAATTTACACCAGAATGGAAATTATTACAATTTGTTTCCGAGGCTTAATCTGCAAGTTTATCACCATTATTATTTCGTAACGACAGTGGTCAGTGTTCAAGTCCAGTAAAACCCGGGATTTCAAATGCTAATTCTCAAAACAAATCAAATTAGTCAAGAACTGTATATATAATGCCATGTTCACATCTGATAAACGTTTGCCCATGGTCAGGTATTAGAAATTCGGAGAGAATTATTTTCGGCCCTAAAATGTGTCAGTTTTCACTTTATTCCGTATAATAAAAGATAATTTTCGCACAATCACATTTCCGGTAACCTTTAACTTCAAATATCGACGTAAAATAAACATCAAACCTTTCAATCGTTCAATGATTAAGTACAATGTTTTTTGAATTTCGGGGACAGTAACGTTGTTAGTATTTTCAACCATTGGCGATTTTCAATAAGGAAGATCATACGTGTAAACATCTTGCTTTTGAAACCGGAAACATTCATAAGGATTTTCCTCTAAAGAAGAAATGTTTTTATTTTCAAATAAATAAATTAGAAATAAATCCCAAGCAGCAATCAGTGATAATATTATGCCAAGACTTCCATTTTTTTTTAATTATAAAAGAATATTTTCTAAAAAATAAAACGTTCCTACCATTTCTAAATACATGTTTACGCATATGGTATTCTGTAGTAAAAGTACCTACTACGAAAAATTACCATTAATCTTTTTATTAATACAACTCGACTTGTGATCACGCGTCCTACTGCTCGAAAAAAAAAAAAAAAAAAAAAAAAAAAAAAGGTTACTCATGCCTGATATATGCTTATGTCTAAACATACTATATATGCCATGGCTTCGGTTCACTAAAAAGTCTGATTTCATAAGTGAAAGATCTTTAAGCCTACGCACAGGAAATATAAAGGGGAGTGTGAAATGTGTGAAATTGGCCCCCACCTTTTAAACCAAAAGTTTGCCAAGGCTCATCAAGATGAGAAGATGATAACTAGATATACGTTTCTTAAGTTTTCTATCGGAATTTCCCCTCTCATGGGGAGACAGCACAGGCTGAAAAGGTCGGAAAATAAACAGGTGCATTCCAAACCAAAATAGTTCGTCAAATATAAACTGACTCCTGAGGTTTCAAACTCCGACCAATCGTGTGTGTGTACTTGTGTGTGGCGTAGTACCCAGGGTGAAAAGGGCGTGAAATCCAGGGTCTATATATATATATATATATATATATATATATATATATGTAAGCAAATGTAAATGGATATAGATCCGACAGAATGAAGAAAAATTTGGAAAAAACAAACAAAAATCCTTAAATGCAATTATGTTGTTTAAAATGAATGAAATGTCGACGTCTGACGTTTCGGTTTAATAAACCTTCTTCAGGACAATATTCATTAAAATACAATTCAGTTCAATTTGACAAAGACGATGGACATTATTTTAATGAATATTGTCCTGAAGAAGGTTTATTAAACCGAAACGTCAGACGTCGACATTTCATTCATTTTAAACAACATAATTGCATTTAAGGATTTTTGTTTGTTTTTTCCAAATTTATATATATATATATATATATATATATATATATATATATATATATATATATATATATTAGATGGTTCACGTATCGTCCGCTTCGCACTCCTCTCTGATCTTTTGAACAGGAGTAGCGGTTTATATCTTGTTTCCTCGATTGGGTTTCAGATTCCTTCTAAAGTTTTCTCATTCTCTTTAACTCCGAGTAGCCCCTTGCATCTTAGTGGCATTATCGCCTTTCTTGGAGTGAATTGATTTTAAAAAAAATATATATTTTGAGTTAAATATTAAGTATTATAGTTTTATTCTGCTAGCATGTATGTTTTTTATCGCGCACTAGAGTGTAATATAAACTCGATTTCCGGCCATTCTAATCGACAGCCAGTTACACTTTCTGGCCGAAAGATCTATATAAGAGAGAATATATTGAGAAAAAACCCAAGAGAGGATTAAGGGGTAGATGATGTGAAAGAAGAACGGTAGGGGGTAAGATAAAGAAAATAAAAATGAAACCAGGCGAAAGAAATATAAGACGGGGGAGGGGGGTCAGAGAAGAAAATGGTCAGGAAGAGTTTAGTGGCTGGTTATCAACAGGCAATAATCGAAAAATAGAAAAGACAAATAATTAAAATTTATGCGGAGAAATCGATCAAAAGAGAGGCGAAAGAGGACAGACAATATTTAGATCTATCTTATTCCTTTTTTGTATATGAAACATCCATTTTTATAAGAAAACCTAGGTGATCAATGAAGATTGGGATGGATAAGGGAATGTGATGTGAGGATACAGGTAAAAATTGGGAGAAGGAAGAGACATTATATATTGTGGAGATTTTACGTATACCGATAGTAACCATTTTTCTATGGAAACTACGATGTTTGTGCCATGTTGGATATATTAATTCTCTCTATAGTAGTAAAGTTACCGTAAATTCTAAACTTCAACTTTGAAATTAGGGACGTCCCCTCTAAAGAGAAAGTTACATGAAGTTTATAGAGTTTAATGAGGTCAGAGCTGAATGTTCAATATTTTGAAAGTGCTCACAGGAATATTCAATAAAAGAAGGGCAATTATGGTAACCACTTTTAGAATGACAGAATAAATCAGTATGTAAGGGATTGCCAATGCTTGTATGTATGTATGTATGTATGTATGTATGAGAGAGAGAATTTGCATGTATACTTCAGTGTCTGCATATATCAAGATCTTGAGTGTGTCTAAGCTTGAACACAGAAACATACCGTCTACACTCATATATGTGTGTGTGTGTATATATATATATATATATATATATATATTTGTCGTTTCGAGGAAAAGGCATAATTTGAAGAAATTATCCTTATTATCAGAAAATTATCTTGACAATGTTTCTTTGCAAAATAAAATCAGAATTGATATAAATTATAAAAAAAAAGACATGATTCGAAGAACTAAATTTTCAGATTTAATTATATCTTCCCACTTTCAGTTAAGTTTTTGATTTTTTTTTTTAATTGGGATATTATTGACACAGTGTACTGAAAGTAAATTTGTCATGATTAAAAAATAAATAAATAAAGGATGAAATAATCAAGTGCAAAATTCAGTTCTAAAAAGAAATAAATTTTTACCCAGTCTCCACCCCAAAAAAAAAAAAAAAAAAATCTATTCTTGTAAAAATCAATGCCACGTTTATTTAGTATTCATAGACTTTAATACCAGAAAATCTTTATAGCAGAGATTTCAGAGAAAAGTTTTTCTTCCTTTAACGCGAAGAAAAAAAAATACATTTTTATCAACCAAGACATTTTCTAAAATATGATTTAAAATCATTAAAATCAAATCAAAAGTTTATTGAATAAAACAAAACTAATTGCCACAATTTATTACAAGCAGACTTATTTTCGTGTGTGTGTGTGTGTGTGTGTGTGTGTCAACGATCAATCTTTCGTACTATGTATCTGGATCTATCATGCGTAGAATTTTAAAAAGGTCAAATCATTCACTCTTGATTATGTGTTCAGTTCGGGCAGCATAGACTCAGACCGTCTCCGATTGAAGGTGTTCCCAATTATCGCTTTTGTTGCTTCATCCTTCAAAACAAAAACAAACTCTTCTAGATCCCCAGCCACGATCAACTATTTCCGTTCATGAATTCATTTTGCACCTTTATTTTATTAATAGTCACAAATAAGGGTTAAACAGCAGGGTGGACTAAGAAAAGAAATTGAATTATTTATTGTGGAGAAGACAACGGGACACCACTCCACTATATTTACAAAGAATTCACGGTAATTCAGGTAATACAGAAAAAGGAATCCTCGGAAAATTATCCTCGCTTACGTCCTGAAGGTTCATTTTAATTTATCTGCTTAACGGCATATCATCTCTTGTGGATCATTTAATGCCGAAATTTAATATTCTTTGGAGCTTCGAAGTAATAAAATGTTATTCTTTTTACACAATTGATTACATGGTAGATAATTCTCAGCTTTTGTGTATTGTGTGGACACAGGCTTTTGTATTTTGTGTGGACACAGTTACTAGAAAGTGGTGATATGTGTGTTTTATGTTGTTTTGTTGAAGTTATATTTTGGAATACAGTTTAAGAAATTGTCGGATATTATATGGACTAATGTCATGAAGGAGTTCTTTTATGTTGGTAGTTTGATAGTATTTTAAACAGATTTGGGTGAAATCGCTACAATTTGCTGGTATATGCGTATTGCTGGTAATTTTTTTATTATTTAAAAATGCATTGCTCTTATTTTTACTATAAAAAAGTATTTTTTTTATACTTTCATAATGTTTTGTTTGGGGGGGGGTCATTACTTACTATTATCTTGGACCCTACCACCTAGAATCAGAGTTACCCTGGGAATAGCAGCAATTAAGAGGTGGTTCCACGCTCCTCAAAACCTCCAATGTCTCGATCAGAGGCCTTGCTGCCGGATGTAGTTTATCGTCATACCCAGAACTAATGTACTGAACAGATATATCATTAAAAAAAATAGCATTAATG